ATAATATAGTTTACTTCCAGAAGAAACTAAAATTTACTATCCGGAAATAGTAGCAGTTGTTTTTAAAAATGCAAAGTTTAAGTTTTACTTTTAATTTTTTTTATGTACTTTACACTGTTTTCTTATTTTTATCACAGTTTTTACTATTTTCAAACATAAATTTTACTATTTTTTAAGTAAATTTTAGTATTTTAAAATAAATTTTAGTAGTATTTTGGAAGTAAATTTCAGTATTTCAAAAGTAAACTTAACTAGTTCGAAAGTAAATTTAAATATTATAGAAGTAAACTTAACTACTTTAAATGTAATTTTACTACTTTAGAAGTAAACTTTAATATGTACTTAGAATGAAAGTAAATTTTAGTATCTTGAAAGTAAATTATAGTAATTTAAAGAAAGCTTTACTATTTTGAAAGTATGTAAATTATAGTATTTAAATAAAAATTATAATAGTATTTTAAAAGTAAGATTTACTACTTTAGAAGTAAATTTTACTATTTTGAAAGTGAATTTTAATAGTACTTTGATAGTAAAATTTAGCAAAAGTAAATTTTTATAATTTGATGTAAATTTTAATAGCAATTTGATAGTAATTTTTACTATTTTGAAAGTAAATTCTAGTCTTTTAACAATAAATCATAGTACTTTGATAAAAATTATAATAGTATTTTAAAAATAAATTCTACTACTTTAGAAGTAAACTTTACAATTTTAAAAGTGAATTTAAATAATTTTTTGGAAGTAAAATTTACTATTTTTAAAGTTAACTATTTTGAAAGAAAAATTTTTAAATCTTTAAAGGAAATTATAGTATTTTTATGTAATTTTTTAAAATCAATTTGAAAGTGAAGTTTACTATATTTTATAAGTAAAGTTTACTATTTTGATTGTCAATATTAGTATTTTAAAGTAAATTCTATAATTTCTTAACAGTAAAATATTTTTTTTTGGTAAAAATTTTAATAGTATTTTCATAGTAAATTTTACTACTGTAGTAGTAAATTCTAATATGTTGAAGTAAATTTTAAAAGCAATTTGAAAGCAAAATTTTTCTATTTTTAAGGTAAAATTAACTATTTTGAAAGAATGTTTTAGCATCTTAAATGTAAATTTTAATACCAATTTGAAAGGCAATTTTACTATATTAGAAGTAAACTGTACTATTTTGAATGAAAAGTAAATTTTACTATTTTTAAGGTAAACTTAACTATTTTGAAAAAAGTTGTAGCATCTTAAATGTAAATTCTAATATTTTTATGTAAATTTTAATAAAAATTTGAAAGTAAATTTCACTATTTTAGAAGTAAACTTTACTATTTTTTAAGTAAATTTTCGTTTCTTGGAAGTAAATTAAACTTTCTAAATAGTAAATAGTAAAATAACTTCTGAATAAATAAATAAATTTCCAGCTGATAATTTTACTATTTTCGAAGCAAAATTTTACTGTTTAAAAAAATCCGAAAAGTTTACATCTAACAAACAGTAAAATTTACAGTGAACGAATTGTAAAATTTATTATAATAATTAATAATATTAAAATTAATTAAAAAAATTGATAAAAAAAACTGAATAGGTACTAAAAACTATATAGAACAAGTATAGTAAACTTTACAGTAAACAAATAGTAAAATTCTACATTGAAGAAATTGTAAAATTTACTCTCAACAAATAGTAAAACTTTATTAATGGTGAATAAAAAAATTGCCAGAAATGCAATTTTAATTTGTTGTAAAAATTTTCAATTTTTGTACAAAAGCAATAAATTTTCGAAAGTCTTGGAGAAAAAATAAATAAATAAATAAATAAAAAAACAAAACCAGCTTTTCTCATGAAATATAAAAGCAATGTTTTTATATGCATTTAAGATTAGATGCAATCGACAATTTTCTCTTTTCTCATAGGTCGATAGGATATTCTTTTTCTCACACCCACACGCGATTAGAAGTATCAGTCAATCGAGAGTACACCAGAAGCTGTTATTAACTTATTTCGAGAGTGTCGAGAAATTTCTCACCTCTCTCTCTCTCTCTCTCTCTCTCTCTCTCTCTCTCTCTCTCTCTCTCTCTCTATTTCTCTCTTCATGACATAATTATTCATTTTTTTTTTTTTGCATAATATTTAATTTATAAATAAATAGGTCAAAAAATATAAAGTGAATTTTACTATATTTGCAAAGTAAACGATTAATTTTCTTTTTGTTTTTGCGCAACTTCAATTTTTACACTATTTCCAAATAGTAAATTTTAACAAATTTTCAATATATTTGCTTCGTTTAAAGTCAATTTTACTAAAATTGACTAATATTTATTTCGGAAATGGTAACATTTAGTAAAATTTATTTTGAAATTAGTATAAAATTTACTAGAATTCACTAAAATTTTTTTTAATAATAATATTGAAGTAATTAAAATAAATGAAAATAATATTAAATTTACTGTAATTTATTTCGGAAACAGTAAAATTTGCTAAAATTTATATTGAACTCTTTAAATTTGAATTAGTAAAAATGTTTGCTAATTTGAATTAGTGACTTCCTTTTTTTCTTTTGAAGTAGTAAATAATACTTATAAATAGTCATTTTAACTAATTTGTAAAATTTACAAATTACAATTTATTAAATTATTATTATTATTATTATTTATTATTTTATTTATTTTAATTAATTAATTTATTTATTTACAATTTATTAGTTAAATTTACTATAATAAATTAGTAATTTCTACTAATTTAATATTTTTGGAAGCTATAAATTATAAAATTGTATTTAAAGAACTTTTATTTCTACTAATTTATTAGTAAAATTTACTAATTCAAAAGCAAAAAATTAGTCAATAATTCAAATTTACATTTTTTTTAATTCAAATTTAGAGAGAAAGTAGTCAAATTCATTAAAATTTATTTCGAAAATATAGTAAAATTTATTAGAATTATATTTTCTAAAACAATAAAAAAAACAGAAATTTATTTTGAAAATACTAAAATTTACTAACTAAAAAAATATTTATTATTTAATAAATAAATAAATACACAAAATATTTCAAATAATTTACTTACTAGCAATTTAGTAAACTCATAAATAAATAAATATTTGTTTTACTTAATTTACTATAATTTACTAAATATTATTTCAAAACTAGGCAAATTTACTATAAATTTATTTCAAATACTAAAATTTACTACAATTTACTAAAACTTATTTCGAAAAAATAAACTTTGCTAAAATTCTCCAAAATTTATTTTGAGAATTGTAAAGTTTACTGAAACTTTTTTTTATCGAAAATACTAAAAATCACTTACGAAAATTCATTCATCACTCACACCCACTTAATAATTTGTCCCTTTTAAAATAATAAAAATGAAAATAATAATAATAATAATAATTAAAGTAAGCGTAGATTTTGAGTGAAAATTTTTCAACGTCAACGATTAAACTAAAAATAGTCAATGCACTCTTGCTTATTTGCATACTGAGTCCTGTGTATAGAGAGGAGGACGTTAAATTTAGTTCTCTAAACGCGTTTTACCAAGCTCAGTCTTTTTTTTACCCCACAAAAGACATTTTACACGTTCAGTTTATTAATAGCCTTAGGCAAATAATTGCACTGTAATTACAGTAATTATCATGTTTTTTTTAGAATTTTGTACTTTCTTTGTGAATGCAAAAAATACAAAAAGAATATATTTCCATTTATTTAGTGTTGTTCAAAGTTTTAAAAACTTAAAAATTTCCAATTTCTAGTCTCGATTTTTACTTTGGGGCTGTCCATAAATTACGTAACACGTTTAGGGGGGAGGGGGGGTTCGAGAAAATGTTATCATATGTTACATGGGAGGGGGGGGGGTCAATCATCATTGTTACGTATTATTTATAAGGAACTTAATCTCTTTATAATGGATAAATTTTTGAAAAGCTGTCCCTTGCCGCCACTTCAATATAAGTAAAAATCGAATCATTTCGCGAACCGATTCTTGGGAATAATATACAATTTTTATTGTTAAAAAATCAATGTTATATTTTTGGTTGTTCAGTATGATTAATAAAATTATTCCTCTAAATGTTTTTTATATTTAACTTAATTTTGTATTGCTATTGTACGATATAAATACTAAAAATAGCAGTAATAAACAAATTTGTTTCGAAAAACGTTAGTAAAAAATATTTTTAAAAATTACGTAACATTGATAAGGAGGGGGGGGGTGTAAAACGATTTTGTTACAACTTGTTACATAGGGGGAGGGGGGGTTCAAAATTTCACTAAAAACGTGTTACGTAATTTATGGACGGTCCCTTTGTGAATATACTTCAAATTATATTTTTATTATTTTATTAATAGTTTTATTTATATTTTTATTAATAGTTATCTATTCAAATTTATTTGTTTTTTAAAGTTCTTTAAAAATTGTTGTTTATTTAAGTAGAAAGAAATACACGGAAAAAAGAATAAAATAATTTTTACTATACTTTCAAAGTAAAATTTAAAAAACTTCTAGTGTATTTTTGTAGAAAATTTTACAATTCCCAAACGAAAATTTTACTATTTCACAAAAAGTAAATTTTCATTAACTATTAACAAAAATTTACTTTTGAAGTAGCAAAGATATATTTTCTCCGAAAATAAATTAAACTTTTCCTTGAATTTCCCTCCTCGCGATGTGTATTATATAAGAACCGGAAATCAATTCAAAATTCTGTTCAAAATTCGAAAAAGAATAAAAAATCCCTTTTAAAATCCCAACAGGAATGTATTTTTTGAATTAGTTTCAATCTTTTTTTTTCTCAAAATGATTTTTTACCACCTACATGTCCTACATCGTAATTCTTACGAGTATTACGTTACGTGGGTTACGTACGTACGCAGGTACCACTTATCGTCTATGAATATCACAACGATAGACATCAATAATTCACGCCCCTCGATTTACAATATACCGCGCCGTATAAATAATATCGTAAAAAAAGAATTATTTACAAAAAAAGAAAAAAAAATTGAAAAACTCACCATTTTTGCTGTATTCTCTAACAACGACACTAGGAATGTTTGGCTTGTCCTTTTCCGCTTCTGCTTTCTCTTCAAGGTCATTCACTTCCTTATTGCTGTAATGAAAAGAAGAAGAAGAAAAATTTTTATTTTTGTTTTGCTAATAAATTTCCATTTAGATTGGCTTTACGATTTAATGTTATCTTCACTACAATCTCTGATGTGCAATATTGACATTGATAGTGCTGCAATTAGTTTCTTGCGCGGGTATTTTCATATTCTCAATATACATATAGGAATGTTAATTCCAATGTCAGAATTTTGATATTTTTCATTTTTTTTTTATTTTTTGCTGTTTTTAGAATCCGATGAATTAACTCAATTTTTTTATTATTTGTATATGAACGTTAAAATGAAAAAAAAATTTATTCAGGTGTTTCATTCATTATTATTTTATATATTTATTATATTTAGTACAATTATTATTATTATTAGTTAATATGATAATTAGCTATAATTGCAATGAATTGTCGTGGATTGTCAACGAAATAAAAAAAACCAATAAAAAGAAGAATAATTCTTTAAAAAGAGGAACAAAATTGCGGCTAATAAAGTTCGACTTATTCCCCATAGTAAATCATCTTAATAATACGACACGATTTCTATAAAATTATGGCATTACTGTCGCTCGTGAAGTGAAGTCTGCAAAATTCAATAAAAAAAAAAGAAGAAAAAAATTGAATTGCGAGCCTATACCTACGTCAGTTTTAACTCGATTAAATCTATTTGAAGGAAGGAGGCAGCTTTGCGAGTATATAGTAAGTAACATCCCGAGAATATCAAATGGAATGGCGCCGCACTTCTTGCCAAGTAGATAGGCAATATACATGGATAATTAGCGATGAGAAAACAAGATCAATTAATCGCAGTGCAGATCCGCACTGTGCACGACAGAAACTCGTCTAGTCTTTGCAACCAAAGGGTCACATGACGGATAATATTCTTTTTTTCTCACATTTTTCCCTATGCATCTTATACCACTATATATATGTATGTTTACACAACGAGTTTTCATTATATTATTATGTACCTGATGAAGCTTTTTCTTCTTTTTTTTAAATATCTTTTAAAAAATACGAGAAGAACAATTTTTTTATTTATCAAACTAATTATATTAACTAATTGCAATTATAAATAGTCATCATATTAACTAATTATACTATGAACTATATGGGATGGTTTTCTAAAACACTCACTGACTGATTGCCATTTGAAATTTGCCTGAAATTCTTTTCTTGAAATCAGTAAGAATTAACTGACTGTCAGAAGGTTGTAAGGATTTTAATTAACAATCAGTTATTTTCCAGCGACAGTCAGTTATTTATAACAAAAAATTTATTATACTTAATTGACAATCATTTATTTCTAACAATCAATTTGTTATACTGAATTGACAATCAGTTATTTTCAACTACCAATCTTTAAAATTTAACTAACAATCAGTTATCTTTAAGATACAATCAGATATTGTTAACAAACCATTAGTATTTTTAAAACAACAATTAGATATTATTAATCAGCAATTATTTATACTTAATTGTCAATCAGTTATTTTCAACTATCAATCAGTTAAAATTAACTTAAAATCAGTTATTCTTATCAAAGAATTAGTATTTTTTAATCAACAATCAGTTATCATTAACTAACAATTATGTATACTTAATTGACAATCAGTTATTTTCAACTAATCAATCTAATAATCAGTTATTTCTGATTTTTAATCAATAATCAGTATTTTCAAATCAATAATCAGTTATTATATTTAACCGACAATCAGTTATTTTTATAATTTATTATTAATTATTTATAATGAATTACCAATCAGTTATTTTTAACCAATAATCAGTATTTTTAAATTAACAATCAGTCATATTTAACAAACAATCAGTTATATTTAACAAGCAATCAGTTATAATCTGCCAATCAGTTATATTTAATTATCAATCAGTTATTTTTTATAAAAAAGCAATTATTTTTTAATTACAATCACTTTTACTTTACAGACAATCAGTTATTTTTAATCAGCAATCATTGGTAGTTAATAGACAATCAGTAATTTTAAATAAACAATCAATTATATTTAGATTGGTTACTCTTAATCAACAATCATTTATCTATATCTAACAATCAGTTCTGATTGACTTACAATCACTTATTAATAACTAAATATATCAGTAGAAAAATCATAAATATGACTAATTAACTAAAAAATATTAACTAATAAACAATAATTTCTACTAATTTATTAGTGAAAAGGAAATAATTGAATTCTTTCGACGAATTTTAATTAACATTTTTAAAAAAAATTTTGTTAAATACAATTTTTAAATTCTATTAAAAATAATTGAAATTCTGCAATAATTGAATATATTGCGAAGAAAATTTTAAAATTAAAATTATAATTACGGTGACTATAACTTCCTTTGATTATATTCGAAAAATATAAATAAAATTCTTTAAAAGAATTTAATTATTTTTAATAGAATGTGAAGAAATTTCAATTATTATTTGTTTAGAAAAATTCAATTATCTTGAAACAACAGAATTTCAAGTCTTATTTTTCAAAGTTTTAAAAAAAAGTTTGGCGAATATTCAATTTTATTAAAAATTATTTTTATTTAATAATTAATTTAAAATTGTATTATTTCGTATTATTCCGTATTACCGCGTATTATTCCGTATTATCGCGTACTATTCCGTATTACTGCGTATTATTCCGTATTACCGCGTATTATTGGGTATTAGCGCGTATTATTCCGCATTATTGCGTATTACCGCGTATTATTACGCATTATTGTGTATTATCGCGTATTATTCCGTATTACCGCGTATTATTCCGTATTATACCGTATTATCGCGTATTATTCCACATTATTGCGTTTTACCGCGTATTATTCTGTTTTACTGATTATTATTGCGTATTACCGCGTATTATTCCGCATTATCGCGTATTATTTTGTATTTTTCCGTATTATTTCGTATTATTCCGTGTTTTTCTGTATTTTTTTTATTTATAAAAATAATTGGAATTTTTTTTCAAAAGGTTCAAGTATTACGTAAGCATTTAAGGGGGAGGGGGGGTCTAGCTATTGCTTATTTTAGAAAATTTTTAAATTCTATTATTTTTAAAATTGCTAATTTTATTTTAAAAAAATAGTAGTAAGAAGTTAGCCGCGCTCTTTAGCGCGATAATTTTTGCTAGTAATAGTAATATGAACTAATATGAATAATTTAAGTTAATAATTTACACCAGAAACTAAAAACAACTTAACAAATCAGTTAATACTGGAAAAAAAATTTAAAAACATAGTATTAATATAATTCGAGTATTACTTACTATTCACTAATAATTCACTTACTTAACTTTATATATTTACTCACATTCAGTGAGTGAATTAAAAATGTTTTAATTCTACTGTAGAACGTGTGGCGTCGAAAATATTCTACGATATGATGAACTTAAAATTTCCTTCTTATTTAGGGGGTGTAGGCATTATATATGTATAATATAATACAGGTATAAAATATGGTCAATACAAACCCTTTGTACAATAGGGCCTTTGTTATTGAGGAAAACTTTGAGTTTAACTTTGTTTATCTTTACAACTGCTATAATACTTCGTCTGACATAAGACTATCTCTCTTCAATTTTAACCATGAATTTCTTTCTCTTTCCAAAACAAAATTGATAAGACTGTCTTACTTTATCTAATTTGCATATCTACTCGTTTCTCAATAAGGAAAATTTACTAATTCAAAAGCAAAAAGTTAGTCACTAATTCAAATTAGTAAATTTTTACTAATTCAAATTTCGAGATTTACTGTTCTTTTTTAAATCAATAATTCTCCATTGATACGAATTTTAATTAAAGAAACAAAATTTCTTTTGGCGAATTTTCTATTAAAAATCAGTAGAAGAAATAAAAGTTGAAAAATAAATTTATAAATGGAAAATAAATTTTTGAACTGACTGACAAATTTCTTTTTCTATCTCAACTTAAAAGTTATATTACTTAACATTTTCTTCTAAATAGAAAATTACATAACGTCATTAATTTATTATTTATATATAAACACTTGCAGTTAATGATTTATTTTAATTAAAATTTGACCCTAATTTAAAGGTCAATTTAATTTAAACTGCAATTTAATAGTAAAATAATTTTTTCTAAAATAATTGAAAAATAAAATATTCTTGCGAAATTTATATCCGTTTTTTTCTAATTATTATTGAATAAAAAATTGCATTTAGTAAAAACAATACCAACGACGATTTTTAGCTAATTTATCGTAAGACATTTATTTTTTATATTAATCATAAGAGATAAAAATATTTTATTTATACGTTAAATTTTGCAATTTATAAATTAAGAAAATATTTTTTATACAAGATGAATACACCTTTTATAGAAACTATTACGAAAATTTTTTATTCTTTTATATTTTATTTTTTGAATAAAGTTTTATAAATTATTTATTCTGATTGCTTGTTAAATATATTATATATTATTTACTTAATTATTTATTTATATTTTACTAAATAATAAAATTAATAAATTAATTAAAAAATATTAAAAAGAAACTTTCATAGAAATTTCTACAAAGAAAAAATGACAAAGAAAGAATAAGTTGCATAATATTTATAGAATAATTGAAAATAAGTACACTTACGCATTATTATATTCCAACGAATTAGTCTCCTCCTCTTCACCAATTGTTGCCAAATTGCTTTGCCAATAATAGTCTCCAGCATCACTTTCTTCACTTGTATCATCATCATCATCATCGTCATCCATCAATTCCTCCCTTTTGTAGCATCTCTTGATTTCTATTTCCTGCGCTAAATTTTCAACGTCTGAACAAATATTTTCCAGTCTTTCAATTGGCGTTTCATTTATTATTAATTTCCCATCATTAATTTCTTCTATAACAACACTATTAGCTTCACTTTCTTCCTCTTCTTCTTTATTACCATTAACAAAACAGTTGCATTCTTTGGACAGAGTTCGTTCATCTTTGGATGGTGAAACAATTTTTTTTAATTTACTCAAATCACTAATTTCTTGTTGTTGTTCCTTTTGTTCTTTTTGTCCTTTGTGTTCCTTTTCTTCTTTTTTTTTTGTTTGTTCTTTTGGTCCTTTTTGTTCTTTTTGCTCTTTTTGTTTTCCATCTTCTTTCAGTTCTTTCTGTCCTTTTGGTCTTTTTTGTTCTTTTTGTTTTTCTAGTTCCTTTTGTTCTTTTCGTTCTTTTTGTTCTTTTTGTTCTTTCTGTTTTTCTTTTTGCTCTTTTTGTTTTTCTAGTTCTTTTCGTTCTTTTTGTCCTAATTGCTCTTTTTGTTTTCCTTGTTCTTCTTGTCCTTTTTGTTCCTCTTCTTTTTCTTCTTCAAATTCTTGGTCTACTTTTTCTTTATTGCAATTTTCTATTTTTTCTTTTTTATTTTCCTTTCTAATTTCTTGCCGTGTGTTGTTATTCTCACTTTTCGATATATTTCCATTCTTCGTTTTAGTTTCTTCTTTTATTCTTTCTCTGCCTATTTCTTCTCTTCTTTGTTCTTGTTTCTTTATATTTTCCCTTCTTCCCTCTTCTCTGTTTCTTTCTTTATTCCTCTGTACTTGTCTATTTAAATTTTCCTCACTTCCTTCTTCTTTAATTCTTCTACTTCCTAGTTCTTCCCTTTTTACTTTTCTCTTTTCTTCGTCGTTTATTTCCTTATTTCTTGAATCATCTCTATTTAATTTTCCTTTGCATTTCTCATCTTTGTTCAATTTTCCCTTACTTTTCTCTTCTTTGTGTAATTTCCCTTTGACTTTTTCATCTTTGCTTAATTTTTCTTCACTTCTCTCTTCTTTGTAGGATTTTTCTCTGCTTTTCTCTTCTTTGTTTATTTTTTCTCTGCTTTTTTCTTCTTTACTTAATTTTTCTTTGCTATTTTCTTTGCTATTTTCTTTGCTGTTCTCTCTGCTTTTTTCTTTGATTTTTTCCTCTCTGTTTATTTCTTTATTTTTCAATTCTTCTTTATTTAATTTTTCTTTTCTAGATATTTTTTCCTTACCTAGTTCTTCTTTCTTTATTTCATCTTTTTTACTTATTTTTTGTTTCCTTTTTTCCTCTTTGTCTATTTCTTCTTTTCTTGGGTTTTCTCTTTTAATTTCTTTTCTTTTCGTTTTGTTTTTTATTTCACCTTCCATTGTATTTTCTTTTTTTATTTCTTCTCTTCTATTTTCTGGTTTTATTTTTTCTCTTCTATTTTTAGGTTTTATTTCTTCTTCTATATTTCCTCGACTTATTTTTTCTCGTCTAATTTCTTCCTCTCTCCTTTTACCGTTTAGAATCTCTTCCTCTTTTCTATTTTCTCGTTTTACTTCTTCTACTCTTCTTTTTTCTTCTCTTTCTTCTAATTCTATCTCCGTTTTTCCTTCTTTTCTTTTTCCTTTCCACTTTTTGTCTATTTCTTCTTCTTTGCCTTTTACTTCTTTTTCTTTTTTCTCTCTTTCTTCCTCTTTTTCACTTTCAGAATCATCGACCTCAAACGAAACCGTATCCTTATTTGTCATCTCGACCAATTTTCCTTTCAATGGAGAATTATTAAACTTACCTGGAAAATTACTTTTTCCTCTTTTCATTTCTTCTTCAGCATTTTCACTGATCCGTCGAACATTCGTCTCCGTATTGTCGGAGATTGTCGAGGATTGCCGATGCTGTATTTCGTCGGACATTTTAATCTTCATCTCAATAATGTCCAATAATTTATTCGTCTGCATTTCCTTAGTCGGAAATTTTCCACTTTCTCCTTCCATCGACTCTTGACTCATTGTCAATAAATTTCCCTCTTCCCTACATTTTCCCGTTGGTAAATTTTCCATTTCATCTCCCTTCGAATTCACTTCACTTCCTGTTTGCCTAAAATTCAATTTATCCGGTGAATTTTTCAATTCCTTTTGCAATTCTTCGTCAAAATTCAACTTATTCGGTGAATTCTTTAAATCCTTTTTCAATTCTTCTTCAAAATTCAATTCTACTTCATTTTCTGGGTTTTTCGTATTTTTACCATTTTTCACCTCAATCAATTCCTCATCATCAACTTTGATCGATTCTTTTGAGAATTTACTCGATTCTTGAGAAATGGAATTATTTTCATCTGTTTTCGTTCCATTGCTTTCACTTTTTGGTATTTCTGCTCCATTCTCTAAATTTGAATCCAGAAATTCAGACTGATTACTCTGGTGGTTTATTGATTCTGGTGCTGATGGGAGTTGTCGTCTAGGAATTGAATTAGGAGGCGGTGGTGGTGGAGGCGGACGCTTCCTTCTCGTCTTCAAATCTTTTCTTGGCATTGGTTTTGGAGGAAGAATCGGCGTCTCGATTTTTTCCGTCAAATAATCATCATTCTTTGATGATTTAATTTCCCCATTAGAAATTGGCTGATTCACCGGAATTCTATTCACATGATTCCTAATTGGCAAGGGAGGTGCAGAATTTACCTGCTGCTGCTGATCAACAATGTCGATCAATGGATCAAGACGTTGATGATGATGATGATTAACAGCTTCGATCAATGGATCAAGATGATGATTAATAGTTTCGATCAGTGGATCACGATGACAAAGATCAACACTCTCGATCAGTGGATCGTCATGATTATCCTGATTATTCTGATGATTAAGATGTAGATCTTGATGATTATGATGAGGATTTAGATGATTATCTTGATGATTTCGATCTTGATGATGGTCCTGACGATGATGACGACGAAGGCGATGATGATCGACGTCACCATTGACAATGGACTCGACCAATGATGCGTCGTCCTTAATAGGTCGAAAGTGGGTTTTCGAATCAGCTGCCAAGTCGGTGTAAAAAATGCCCGGACTTAATTCATGGCCGTAACTGAGTGGAGCGTCTTGGAAGCTCAAAGGCGGTTGGAGTGTGATTGTCTCCTCGATGAGAACGGTATTGGGAGCGACAACAGCGGTGACACGTTCGACGTCGCCTCGCGATTCGACGTGAGTGACGGCTTCTGAATTTGCTAGGCGAGTGAGAAGATAGTCGGGTGGATTTGTGGTGAATTCGAAATCCAATTGATCGAGTGGTGTGAGCATTCCTTTGAGATTGAGGCCATCTGTTTGGAATTCTTTTGCGTTACTGCTGCTACTATTATTATTGTTATCATTGCAATGGTCATTGGTGTGTTGATGATGATGATTTCCTTTGGTGTTGTCTGTGGCGTATTGCTCGGAGCCTGCGATCGATGCTGTCGAGGCTGTCGAAATTGTTGAGACACGATCCGAGGTGGAGAATCTGTCGACAACTGTTGAGAGAGAACTGCTTGTTTCGTCTGATGTGCTTCCGTGAGTGCTCGATGTGTCTTGAATTCTTGCGTCCAGGTAGACCGTTGCCTCGGGTGGTTCCTGGAAGAATTGTTTTCTTTTTAATTTTTTGTTCAATAGGAGCATTAATTAGAAGTGGAGAAAATTTTAGAGGAGTAGGAAGATGAGGAATAAAAGAAGTTGATGAAGAAGAATAGAGAAGTTGGTAAAAAAGCTTTTGAAGAAGAAGAGGAATAAAAAAGTTGATAAAGAAGAGAAAGATTGGAAAAGTTGATGAAATAGTTGCTCAAGAAGAAGAGGAATAAAACAAGTTGATGAAGAAGAATAGAGAAGTTGATGACAGAGCTTTTGAAGAAGAAGAGGAATAAAAAAGTTGATGAAGAAGAAAAAAATTGAAAATTTGATGAAACAGTTGCTGAGAAATAAGAGGAATAAAAGAAGTTGATGAAGTACAGAAGGAAGGGAAGAAATTGATGAAGAAGAATAGAGAAGTTGATGAAAGAGCTTTTTAAGAAGAAGAGGAATAACAAAAATTGATAAAGATAAAGAATGGAAAAGTTGAAAAAATATTTGCTGAAGAAGAAGAGGAATAAAAGAAGTTGATGAAGAAGAATAGAGAAGTTGATGAAAGAGCTTCTATAGAAGAATAGGAATAAAAAAAAGTTGACGAAGAAGAGAAAGAGGGGAAAAGTTGATGAAATAGTAGCTGAATAAAAAGAGGGATAAAAAAGTGGATAAATAAGAGGAAGAAGGGAAGAAGTTGATGAAAGAGCTTTTAAAGAAGAAGAGGAATAAAAAAAGTTGATGAAGAAGAGAAAGGAGGAAAAGTTGATGAAATAGTTGCTGAGGAAGAAGAGGAATAAAAGAAGTTGATGAAGTACAGAAGAAAGGGAAGAAGATGATGAAGAAGAATAGAGAAGTTGATAAAAAAGCTTTTGAGGAAGAAGAGGAATAAAAAAATTGAAGAAAAAGAGAAAGAATATAAAAATTGATGAAATAGTTGCTGAAGAAGAAGAGGAATAAAAGAAGTTGATGAAAGAGCTTTTAAAGAAGAAGAGGAATAAAAAAGTTGATGAAGAAGAAAAAAAATGGAAAATTTGATGAAACAGTTGCTGAGGAAGAAGAGGAATAAAAGAAGTTAATGAAGTACAGAAGGAAGGGAAGAAGTTGATTAAGAAGAATAGAGAAGTTGATAAAAGAGCTTTTGAGGAAGAAGAGGAATAAAAAAATTGAAGAAAAAGAGAAAGAATATAAAAATTGATGAAATAGTTGCTGAAGAAGAAGAGGAATAAAAGAAGTTGATGAAAGAGCTTTTGAAGAAGAAAAAAGGAACAAAAAAGATGAAGAAGGGAATGAAGGGAAGAACTTGATGAAGAAGAGAAAGAATAAAAAAAGTTTATGAAATAGTTGCCGAAGAACAGGAACAAAAGAAGTTGATGAAGAATAGAAGGAAGGTAAAAAGTTGATGAAGAAGAAGAGTAGGTACAAAAAACAAAAAAAAACAAAAATCAAGAAACTACAATTATCCACACCTGTTTGAATTTACATAAATCAGAAGAATAATCCTTGGGCAATGCTTTGGGGCTCTCATTTTTTGCATTAATTCCACTCTTTGGCGAAGAATAACAACTCTCATAAGCGGAGGATTTAATACTGCTATTACTGCTGCTGCTATTGCTGTTGCCGTTACTGCTTCCAAGAAAACTCGATTGCGATTGTGGCGAACCATTTTGGGACGTGGGAACGGATTTTGCACTGTCCCATGATTTTTTCACTGGACTTGGATTTGCCTCGCCGTCAGCCAATCCACGTGGATGTCTCAATTTCCTAGGTGGCACTGGTGGCGGTGCCAATGGTAATTCAGGTGGTACTTTATTCTTCTCCAATAATGTCGTTTTTCTTTCGGCACTAACCACTTCCGGTCGCAGTGCACCGCGACATCTCACCATTAATTTTATCACCAATTGCGATTCCTTGAGCCGTCTAACGCAATCCAAGCGGGTCATTAAAATCACTGGCACTCCATCGATTGAGAGGATCTAAAAAATAATTTCAAAAATTTAGAAAATTGATCATTTTTCTCCTTAAAGAATAAAGGAATTTAACTTTTATCATTAAAAATAAATTAAGAAAAATTAAGTTAATAATAGATCATTTTTATTTCTATATTCTATTTTAGTAAAATTTATCCATTATATTTATTTTTACAATAGAAAACATTGATTTTTGTAATATATTTACTATTAATTTATATTTTATTTATTACTATCAATTAATATAAAAAATTTAGTCTTTTTATAAAAAAATACATTAATTTAAATAATATTATATTTACTTTAATGGTAAATAAATATAATTAATTTTCTTTTGTATTATGTATAGAAAATGTACAAAGAAAGTATTGTTTGGGAATTTCGTCAAATAAAAATTCTTTAACCGGAAATGCGTTTAGTTTACAGTTCTACAATTGTAATTTGCAGTTATACGCATTAGGATCGTGAAAAACTTCCTGAATGTACCGCAAAATAAATTTTTACTCCTTTTTTGTTATTTAAATGACAAAGGAAGAAGTAAAAATTAATATTAGTGGGAAAAAAATATTTAAAAAAAAAAATTCTAGTCTTTTCAATAAAATATTTTAATATAAATAACAATAAATTATTAGAAATAAATAAAATAAATATAAATATGTAAAATAAATAAAATATAAATAATAATAATAAGAAATAATAAATAATAAAAAATATAAACAATTTATAAATGAATATAAATAATAATAATAATAATAATAATAATAATAATAATAATAATAATAATAATAATAATAATAATAATAATAATAATAATAGAGAGCTTGTCAATTAATATAAACGACTTTTAATTTTTAATTTTTAATTTACTTTCCTTCTCGATATTTTTATCTCCATCAATTTTTTTCGAGTTTTAGAATTAATTTCTTCACTAAATAAATTGATATTATTTAAAATCTCGGTTTTTTTTATAAGCCTGTTAATTCTAAATAAATAAATAAATACAACAATGCATATTATACAATAAATAAAGTAACAAATAATAAGAAGAAAATAAAATAATAAGAATAATAAGTAAAAATAATAAAGTAAAAAAATAATAAAAAAATAAGTAAAAAATAATAATACAATGATAATATAAATAATTTACAAATAAGTATAAAAAAATAATCCTAAGAAAATATGCGATTTTTAGCTCTCAACTGATTTTGCAAGTTCAAATCATAAATGGAAAAAAAGGTAAAGTGTATTTATCTGGTCATACTAACTGGCCACGTGAGAGATACTATTTTACATCAAATAAATAAAAAGAAAAAACGTAAATACAGAATTATGCGTCTATATGCATGTAATGAGGAAATGTCTTATGGAAAGTAATATTTCACAATTTTGGTACTAATAAGTCGTGTGTATGAGAGAGAGAGAGAAAAAAAACCGTTTAATCGAGAGAGAGAGAGAAAATGAAATATCTTTTTATCCGGAAAGACAAGTATACTGTATAAGCTTTAAACTGGTTTTATGGGAGTTCACCAATACATTCTGCTTATATACATTACAATATATGTATAGATAAAGGTTGAACCGCACAATGTTACATGTCTGACTATATGGTGTGGTGTTCACGCGAAATATTTGCAGTCTGTTCACTTTGGATACAAACAATAATTGTGCGGTTATATATTGGTTACTTTGCGGTTGAGCATTTTTTTTTAAATTTTTTTTATGAAATATTACTTATATTGAATACCAGTGGATTTCTGTATTAAGTATATAATGAGAGTGTACAAGTTTATCTGGGAGATTGCTCTTGTTAAATTATTATTATCGATGTCTTCATCGAACGTGATGTAATGTTTATTTACACGTGAAACAGTAATTAGGATCTTTTTTTTTGGGGGGGGGGGTTCAAAAAACTCCAAATGGTTTGGCATTTTTTTTTTAAATTATTTTATTATATAAAAAAGGAAATGTTTTGAATTCTTTTAGTCAGACCTCATTCCAAATAAAAAAAAAGGAAAGGAGGAAAAGAAGAAAAAACAAAAAGAAATAATGAAAAGGATGAAAAAGAACAAACAAGAAAAAGAATGAACCAAAATAAAACCAG